CCAGTCCAGTCTGTGCTGAAACGTTACTGTCAATCAAACTATCGTGGGAGGCGCCTGTCTGTGTGACGTCACACAGACAGGCATCTGAGATCGGCTTGATTTGAGAAAGGGGAAAACATTTAACCAGATTAAAAAAAAAACACTGGGTGGATTTTTATCATTATAGGGTGGTTGTGTACACACACTGCCAACACACATTTCAGTTCAAACAACATGTAAAAGTGCAGGTCGCATCCGATGACCCCTTTAAAATAGAAATCTTTAGTAACATTACAAATGTCTTTACTGTCACTTTTGATCAATTTAATGCATCCTTGATGAACAAAAGTAATAATTTCTGTCAAAATAAATCAATCAGTTAAAAAAAAAAAAACTAGTTCAATGACAGCATGCTTGATGCTTGTAATGTGCTGTTCAAACATATTTGCCTAAGTACGACCCATACAATCAAAGCGCAGTATTGTGTCCAGATGAGCCAAAAGCTTTATCTCAAAATTCTGCATGCTGTGAAACAGGTCAGGGAGTGAGTGAAGGGGTCAAAGGCCAGACGCTCTGACCTTGTGCCACTGTCCGTCGTTGATGATGCGCGGCACGCTGACGGAGGTGTTGCCGCTGCCCAGATCGTAGCTCAGGTGAGCCATTCCCTCCTTCAGCTGGATGGTGGCGAAGTCAGCGTGGTTTATCCTGGCCATGTAGAAAACCAGCCCCGAGGCTGCTTCTGTGCGTATCTCGAACTCCATGATCAGCCTGAGGAGCAGACACACACGCATGAGGAGGAGGAGGAGGATGAAGATGATGATAACTGACACTCACCTGTTCTTCACCTTCCTGTCGTCAAACTCAAAGACCATGTGACTGTTTCTGGACAGACCGAACTGTTTGGCCAGTTCCAGCACGACAGGCTCCGCCTCCGCTGCGCACGGCGCCTGTGTGATTGGACAGAGCAGATGTCAATCAAACGCTGCATATTACAGAATTCACGAAGACTTTTTAGTATATAGTAATAAAGCACACAGTACTAGTTATTTGCTAACTAGTTAATTCACAATTTAGCAACTGTAGTCTCTACACCAGGGCTGCCCAAACTCGGTCCTGGAGGGTCAGTGTCCTGCAGAGTTTAGCTCCAACTTGCCTCAACACACCTGCCTTTAAGTTTCTAGTATGCCTAGTAAGAGCTTGATTAGCTGGTTCAGGTGTGTTTAATTGGGGTTGGAGCTAAACTCTGCAGGACACCGGCCCTCCAGGACAGAGTTTGGGCACCCCTGCTCTACACTGTTAATACATTAATTCCCTTTAGTATACAAACAGTGAGTTCTTCATCAATTGTCACTGTAATATACAAATTATTATATTATTAATTAGCTAATATGTAAACAGTTAGATCATATTTCAAATATAAATTGATGTAGTTCAACAAATCTCAGCAGCTCTACGGATGTGCCAATGCTTACAAATCCATATTTAATCAATGAATATTGAATTCATGAAATTAATCAGCTGATTCTATTGAACACATTTAATGCAGCTGCCTTAAGAGAAGGTGAGAGAAGCTATGGTTTAGAGAAAGGAGAGCAAAATTATTTATGCAACAGAATATTGTAAAAAAAAAAAAAAAACAATTTCCTGCCTATTATTATTTTATTATATTTGTTTTTAAAAGTGCTTATGTTTAGGTTTGGGAATAGGGTTAAGGGATCTAAAATATATCTACAGTTCATGAAAACATTAAAAAATGATTATTAATAGCAAAGGACTGTAAATAAATGTTTATAACGTACTTGTCAACATTTGAGGAACACTTGCTAATTCGTTAGTTAGAGTGAATGAATGAAGAACTTTCTTTTTGTACAGTACATACAATGCAGAGACTACAGTTTATAAACTATGAACTATAAAAGCGTGCAAACTATTTATCAGTTTCTATACTTACGTATAATGTGTTCATATAAATTCTGACCCACCAAAACGTTTAACTCAAGATGGCAAGAGTTGTCTCTAAAGAGACTAAACACAGCAAGCATGAGTTTCAGAAAGGTTTGAGTGCTGTTTTATAAAATACAGGCAGTAGATGGAGTCAGAGAACAGCTGATGGAGCTCCTGCAGTCACAACACATTACTGCACGCATTTCATCAGTTCTCATGTGAGAACAATGAAACATACTGTGACTCAGACATCAAAACTTCCTCCAAAAACAAAGCTGCAGAAACAGCACAAGCAGCATAAAGCAGATGGCCGTCAGTCAAAGGATAAATGAGCGTCTGAATGGAGGAACTGCAATATTCACACTAAATTGGATGTCTCTGTGTGTGTGTGTGTGTGTGTGTGTGAGCAGGTTAATACCCCGGCTTCTCTGACACTGGTGGGCGTGTCTGGGATGGGCGTGGCTTCAGCAAGGGGCGTGGCCTGAGAGCAGCAGAAAGAGACATCATGAAGACAGAAGAGCTCAGGTGAAGCCAGTGATTTGTACAGCATCAAAGCATGAAAGAAACATGGTTTCCCAAGATTTGTTATGTTATTATTTTAGTTTTGTCTCAAACCCCATCTTTGACTAATGAAATCCCACAGATGTGTGACTGTCAGAAATTCCTCTTCCTGTCATTTCAGTTCAACGTCTGAGCAATTCAGATCCACATTCATGAATTTAAAAGAGAGTCAGTTCTGAAATTCTGAATATTGATAGACAGCTTGTGCACCCATAAATGGAGGGCGACCATACATCCTCTTTTTCATGGACATTTTTCAGACCTCAAAAAGGCCTAAAACGTTTGAGTTCTGGCTTTGTTTTCTTACTGATGCTCTCTCTACAGTCCTCATAATTATATGTATGTGTATTTGCATTGCTTTGACCGTTCATGCCTTCGTTCTCACTCACCACAACTGGATGATTACGTACAATGTCTGCATGCTATAGGTCAAACTTCCGCGTATGACAGATAACGGAAGTGAGAGAAAAGTGTTTATTACGTTTGAAATATGGATATTTTTCTCACAAAAACGCATGGATTCGCTACAGGAGGCCTTTATTCACCCCCCGGAGCCGTGTGAGGCACGTTTTATTATGAATGCGCGCGCTTTATTTGACGACTTGTGGACTGTTCAACTGCAAAACCCGCTGACTGCAATGATAGAGCTTGGAATAGCCAGGACAATTTTTTGTCTAAGAACTAACCCTTTAAAGCTGCCTCAGCAACATTGACCCTAAAATGGTCAAAGATAATGAATTTAGCTCTTAGGGCCAGTTTTACTAAACAGGGCAAATTAGCGCGAGAGCACAATTCCAAAACAGCGCCAATGGGAGGGGAAATTTCTAACAAGATTGACTAACAATGCGCAAATTAAAGAACACAGACGCAACATCTCATCTACATATCGACCAACGCAATATACCAAGCACAGCGCAAATTAGCGTAGTTGCAAATAAAGAAATAAAGAAGCCACAGTACGTTGAAAAGAACCGAAGGCCAAAAAATGCTAGAAGTTTTGATAGAGCTGGTATTGCATGACTCCTAGTTGAGGGTTCCAAGTCGTCTTTTGTTTCCTGAAGCAAATTAAAAATAACATGGCTTGGCAAACGATAATTTTGTGTTCTTCTTGCATTCCAAATAAATTACATGTGGAAATAAATCCTCTCCCTTCTACCACACGCTCTCTGTTCTCTGCTGTGCCTCCTCTAGCAACAAATTACAGCCATTTCAAGCGCAAAATAGTTTAAGACATGCTTTTTTTGGGTGTTAAATAATGGCGCAAATGCCAGTAATTTGACGAGCGCAAACGTTAGTAAAACGCATTTCGTGATTCATTTGAATACTCTCCTCCCATTAATTTTGCATCTGAAAGGGAAACTCCTAGAAATCCATATTCAATAAGGTCAGGCGCAAAAATAACTGTGTCCACGCCTTTTCAGCGCTAATTCTTCACTGCGCATCTTTAGTAAAACCTGACAGTACTATTTTAACGCCAAAAGACGGTTTGCGCTGGCGCAAGCTGTTAGTAAAACTGGCCCTTAGTGTTTACATGCAAACATGAACGGTACAGGACAAACGACTCTAAGAATCCCAACATTTTCAACATACACAAAAGTCTGGACTTACCCATCACCAGCAGAGCACAGACTTTCACTGAGTAGTGCAAGAATGGGAACTGGGACGCACACAGTCAGTCTTAAACTACAGTAATCACACAGGACTCTCTACCCACAATGCATTGGTTAGGACGTACAGTGGAGGCTGGTGGTGGAGGCCGAGCTGCTTCTGTAGGCCTCAGAGCCTCTTCCTCCTCCTCCTCTTCCTCAGGGGTCTGGGGCGGGGCCAGGTCAGGACACTGCCCAATCTCTGCGTTCTCAAAGGCCACGGGCTGAGAGAAATCCACGGGCCTGTTTCATTGACAGACACAACACACAGCCACTCTTGAGGGAACGATGACACAACGTGACTCCAATCAGGTGAATAATGAACACGCTTATGAGCAAGGACAGACTCATTTAAATCAGTCTGGTAGAGGGCAATGGGGTTCGCTCTAGTGGAAAAGACGCACAGCCCACTGGCAGAGATTCATACTCCTCATTAGAGCAAGAAAAACTCTGATTATTAATGTCATACAGCGTTTAGCTTATGACTGCACTTCAAAACTGCACTGGAAGGAAAACAAGACTTTTAATCTACAGCCACGGGAGGCTGGAAAAAATGGGTCAATGTTTACATCAGTTGCTGGTGTGTACAGTCCAGTCGTGACATATTACAGTGAATTGTGCTCTGGAGGTCGGCGCATTTATCTTGGGCTGTTAAAGGTGACCTCGAAAAGCTTACTAACGTCTCTGCCTTGCTATTATCTGTACAACAGAAAGCTGTGACGTGCCAACATTACTGTTAAGTCTGGTGCTAAGACAGAACAAAAGACTAGTTTTAAGGTTCTCATCACAACCAAAAAGTAGAAGTGAAGTCAGTCAAGTTTACATTATTTAGTAAAGTGATTTCCACTTTAATTAAAAAATACATAACAAACACGATTAATGTAACATTTTTAAAGAAAAAAAAAAAAGATGTTTTGTTATAGCTTTTGGAGCAAGGGCGCCGCCATCTTGTGTGACGTCACGGGGTTGGTTCGCTCCGTTGGCCAGTAAAGTAATAAGCATTTTTTTAACTTTTTGAACACACGCTTGTTTAAATAGAGGAAGACGAACTTGAAAGGACTGTTGAGGCCATAATAAGCGCAAATGCTCATGCATTTGAGCCGATACAGCGAGGGGACCGAGCAGTACTGCCGTTACGGGTAGGGTTGGGAATCGTTTTTCGATACCGGTGCCAAATCGATACTTTTAAAACGGTTCCGGTGCCTGAACCAGTACTTATTAAAAAAATTACAAATTAAAAAATTAAAATTCCCCAAAAGATGGATTGGCCATTAACACTATAAACACATGATGTCGGTTTCATTCATACTGGACACCAGAGGGCGCTCTGTGACAAGAAGCCACATCAGATCACAAAAGGAAGCATCTGAACTTACATTTCACTGCTGGTCATATATTCTCTATATAACCATGTATGTGACAAATAAAAAATCTTGAATCTTGAATCTTGACTGGTGTTGTGGAGTAAAAAGGTTATAATGTTCTCTTTTGTTGAACAACAGGTTTAGAAATTTGAATACAAGGGAGGTTTAGCTTTAGGCATTTTAATTTAAGCATGTTTAGCTTAGTTAACAGAAGGCTACCTGCTGCCATTACGTCCGTTTCGGAGAACCAGAGGACAAATATTTCAATAGATCGCTCAGGCATGGCACCGAAATGATCTGCGTTCTGATTCGGTTCTAGTACATACCGGTTACATAGGTACCGGTGCCATATTGGTACCGGGTTTCGGTACCAAACCCTAGTTACGGGTGGAAGAAGTCGTGAAGTTGCTCTGGTTTGGGGTGAAGAGTGTGTCTGAAACAAATCGTGTTTACATGGATACTCATCAAAACAGCCATGAACATAATTTTCTGTGCATTTGCTCAAGCAGACTAGAAAGAGGACTCAATCTGGTACTCGCGTGCAGTCCGAGCCGAGCGCTTTTCACAGTGTGTGTCAGTGTTGCCAGATTGGAAATGTCCAAGTATCGTACCAGAAGCTCAAAATTATCGCATTTGGAAGAAAATGATCGTATATGAGTCAAACGTACAGAATACAGTTATTTATCTAGACCAACAACTTTTTGACACGACCTGCAAATTACCAAAATAGATAAATAACTCTACACCGGACGCGAGCGGCGCGACAAAATAATATAGAACCCATTATAATCAGTGACACTGTCTACACTGGATACGGCATGGTGCGACACGACACGACAAATCCCTGACAGTAAACTGATGCCTCGTTCTATTTATGACGCACTGACACAAAGTTCAAATGATTTTTAACAGTCGCTTTGTCACGTGCAGTGTAGACAGACTTTAGCTGCTGCGGCACGGCGTGACGGTGTTAACTCCACCTCTGAGTCGCTGTCATCGGAAGCCTGCATGTTGCCAGATGTTGAGGGGGCTCTTGCCGTCATGGGCCGACAAAGTGCTCACTGGCTTAAAAGCAGGGCACCCTCCTGCATTCCTGAAGTGTGCACAAGCGCATTTAGAGAGTCTGTAACATGGGCGTCGCTAGGCCATTTTTAGGGGGGCTATATACCACTACTGGTGAACGAGCCAGTGTAATGCAAATATGTCTGAAAGGTCTGACATAAGATGCTGCATGAACAATACTGTATGAAATGTTGTTTGTTTACATCACATTGTGCCTCGCATTATGAAAACAATGTTTGGGATCAAAACTTCGTGATGAGGTGATATTGATGTAGATAATGTAGCCTATATGTTGAATATTCATCCAAATTGTGGTGAAAACCAAAACATTTGTGTGTTAAAATAACATTTGTGTGTTCAAAAAGTAAAGAAATGCTTATATTACTTTACTGGCCAACCAAGATGGCGGCGCCCTTGCTCCAAAAGCTATAGCAAAACATCCTTTTTTCCTTAAAATGGTTACAATAATCGTGTCTGTTATATATTTTTTTAATTAAAGTGGAAATCAATTTACTAAATAATGTAAACTTGACTGACTGCTTCACTTCCACTTTAAAGCCTAATGTCATTGAATCCTGAGCAACTGATGGGGCACAGGGTTGCCAGGTCTGCGACACAAATCCAGCCCAACTGCTATTCAAAACAAGTCCAAAACTAGCCCAATTGTATTTTTCTGCAATTATCCCCTCCACCTAAATCACGTTCCAGCGTAAAAGTAACCCCATTCTGCGGGAAAACCACAGACTTGGCAACACGTATGGGGCAGTTTTTAGGGGACTGTAGCATTATGTGGTTTAAAGTTATAGTTCATCCAAAAATGAAAATGCAAACCTGCATGACTTACTTTCCTCTGTGGAACACAAATATATTTTAAAGAATGTTTCAACAACAAAAAACACTGGATGGACAAAATATCTAGTCACAAGTACGTATCATTTTGGGTGAATTGTTTCTTCTCTTAACTTTCCTCAACAGAAAGGTCACCTTCATTAGTTTATCTAGGAGGTTTTTTTTCTTTTTCACCAAAACTATTAAACGATTAAGCATTAATTTGCATTAAGCCATTTAAAGGTGCAGTATGTAATATTGACAGTTGGCAGCTGAAATGGGTATTGCAGTCCAAATTCTAAATATTGTTTCTCCCGCCCCCTCCCCAGACTCAGGTTGCCAGATTGAGGACATGCAACAGGAATGAGCGCCACTGACAATGGAAGGAGACGAGCCTTACACTGACTACGTTTACATGGACATCAGTAATCTAATTAATTACCTTATTCTAAACAAGACAATATTATATAGATGTATAAACAGAGTTCGTCTTCGTTATGATGCCATATGCAGTTTTGGCTGTTGCATTTATAATTTTACGAAAGCTTCAAGTGCAGTTAATTATTTGTCATGCTATACGTGCAAACAGACGACGGGGTTGTTGAAGCCATGCTCTTTTGTTTGCCGTCAAACGATTGACCACTGCAGTGTGTATCCTGTTGCAAAATGCGGCAAAAAGTCCTACATGACAGTAATAGTGTGATTAAGGTGCGTACATGTCTATACTGCACTTCGATAATGCGACTAAAATAGGATTACTTCTTAATTCAATTTCAATTTCAATTATTATAGAAATAATAATGTCTTAATTAAATTTTAATTTACTTCGAGTATGACTTTAGCTGGATTAAGGTAATCAAAAATCTGTTTACATGGTAGATTCTTGATCAGAAAATCGTGTTAAAATTGGAATTTTGTTGTCCATGTAAACATACTGACTGTAAGTTGATGAGTTGATCTTCTCATGTTTTAATGGCTCTGGTCATAGAGATTTTTTGATGGATGCTAAAGCTTTTTAGATCAAGTAGAATCTGTGATCTATGACCCAAATCATTTGTTTGCTTCCATGGCTGCAACACGCTGTGTTTTCCACCAACTGGCAACCTGGGGTGTCAAAATACAATTGGGTGAATTGGCAGTGGGCGGAGTCACACAGACAAAAACAAAAACAGACATTCTGACATGGAACGCACATTTCAAAGTAGAATAACTGGCTGTAGCATTGTATTTCAGAGAAATAAGTATGTGATCTTAGCATGATGCCTATATAGTATTTTTATGCTTTAGTACGGTCAAATAATTACATACAGCACATTTAACTTTAACTTCACCAAAAAATATGTATTTTTAAAAGAGATGTGAAGTCATGATGGGTGGATGATGAGTTTGGACATACACAGTGTTGATGAGAAGGTTCCAGATGCAGCCCTCAAAAGGCACGTTGGGCCGCTGTACACCTGTTTCTATGTCCGTCGGGATGCCTCCAATGAAGAGCCGATGGATGCTCAGAGGATGATCGTTGGGTAATGGCTGCTGGAAGGGTGGCTCTTCATCCACCTGCACAGTGAAAGATCTACACACACACACATGCTCCATTAGTTTCAAAGAGGCCTGCATGGGAAACATGATGAGAGAGAGAGAGAGAGAGAGAGAGGGTGGGCTTACGCTCCCGGGAGTCTCTGGATGCGCAGTGAGTGCTCTCTCCCATCATGCAGTATTCCCTTATCCGCTTTTCTGAAAGCTCTGCGTGGACTCTTGCTGCCTGTGAACACCAGCACCTCCAGAGCCCCTTTATTCAGCTGCACAGACAGGAAGGGCTGCAGACACACAGACAGATGGGATGAGGCTTAGACTATTACTAATCACTTTTGTTACTAGTCACTATTGTACACAGTGTTAGTGATCTAAACAATCCCACAACTCAAACTAATAAACTTCCATGTCCAATGAATCAGGCATCTGGTTTGTGCACCAGACATGAATAATTCTTCAATTTATGTGTCGTACTGTCAGCAATGCAACCACCAGAATACCCTATAACACACTACATACCAACATGATAAAAAAAACACTCAGAACATTATAGCAACCACATAGCAACACCCAAGCAACCACCTAGAGCAAACCACTAACTAAATATCAACATGACAAAAAACACTCAGAACACTACTGCAATTGTATAGCAACCACATAGCAATGCATAAATAGCAACCACCAGTTAGCAACCACCTAGCAATACCCTAAAACAAGCCACTCACTACATACCAACATTATAAAGAAAAACACTCAGAACACTATAGCAACCATATAGAAACACCCTAGAACCAGCTAGAACACCCTAAAACAAACATGCCACCATGAAAAAAAAGGTTAATCAACTGTGCTTAAAACACTCAGAACACCTTAGCAACGTCCTAGCAACCACTCACAACACTCAAGAAACTACATAGCAATGTACTAAAAACACTAAGAACACCTTATCAACCCTCCAGAACACCCTAGCAATCTAAAATGCCCTAGCAAGGACCAATGTGAAACTCTACTAACTCTACACTTTAGCAATCACTCAGAACACCTTAGCAACTGTAATAGTAAGCCTTAGCAATAGTAATGCTCTAGAAATCACTCAGAATACCCCAGCAACCACCTAGAAACGCCTTAGCAACCAGCCAGAACACGTAAACAACCAGCAATGCAGTGGTAATACCACTGCAGAATAATATATTCTTTAATATATTGATCTCTGTTACCACTGAATCTAGATCTGTCTCTGTCAGAAAGAGATGCATTAACGAAAACACTAGTGTGCTATTTATGGAGGCTATATCTTTAACACCAAGCATTTGCCTTGCCTTGCCTTGCCTAATAAACTAACAACTACCCACAACACCCTGGCAAACAAAGTAGCAACTGCGTAACACCCCAAACCACTCAGAATACCCCAGCAACCACATAGAAACACCTTAGCAACCAGCCAGAACACATGAACAATCACCTAGCAACGCCCTAACAAATTCTTTGTTAACCGACTGTGCTAAAAACACCGCATGACAATGCCCTGGCAACAGAGTAGCAACTGTGTAGCACTCTAAACCACTCAAAAACACCCAAGCATTTTAATGGTGAGCTTTGCAAGCTAAGATAAACAGTTCACGTTTCTTGATAATATATGAAAATGTAGTCTAAAGATAAAAAGCTAAGTATTTTTGATAAGAATGGTACATTGAGACGTACTGAGGTTCAGATTGGCTCACAGTAATATATTCAGGGGCAGTGAGCTGAGGGCCGGTAATCAGACAGACGGCTCTGAGAGCACACACTCACGCTCTCCACGCTGCACTGGAATTGACGAGAGCGATGCAAGAGCAGGATCCTCTCTCCGAGCCGATGGCAATGCGCACGCAGCGCAGGTGACCCTGGACTCGCTGTAAATTAGAGGAATGAATGAGGAGCGGTGGAGAAAACCCTTGGCCTCTCCGAAGCCGCACTCCCGCAAAATGACACCCACTTAATTTACAAGCAATAATGATTTTCAAAAGGTGGCGGTCCGCCACCCTCTCCCAGGAGGGTTATCGCAAATTGGACATGATCCATCAAAACGGTGGCTTGTAAATCTATTTTTACAAACGGAGTATCACAGGGAGGTGAGAGAGGCGACTGCTTACTACGGATAAGCCACATAATTGATGTGCTGCCCCTGAGCTGGCGAGAGAGAAGGATGATGAAGACGTTACTGACAAAGATGTAGAAAGTCATATTTTAATTAAAATGATCACCGTGCCCCTGGCCTTTAGTACACCTGGTAACAAAAAAAGATCAACTTTTGTTTGCTGAAGGGCAGAGGCAATTACAAACCTGCCTGGATAATACATCTCTTTTATGTGCTATGAGACCCCTGTAACCCCGTGGATTCATTATGATCTCGTACTGAAGGCCGCGGCTCCCCGAACTTCCACTATTACCCATAATCACCTTCCTAAGCGCTCAGACAGGCAAAAATAATAGCATTGAACCGTCTCACACAGTCTCCTGTATGTCTGTGTTTGCAATCAGCTGGAAGAAAGCTGGATTTCTCAAAACTACGCAATGAAGCTAACACTTAGGCTCAGTCATACCTACAGGAGCTTTGTGTTTTGTGTTTTGTCAACACTGAACTAAACGGATCTGAATAATAACACTACTGTTTTCTGTAAAACTGCTTTACAGCTTAAATTGAATTTGTGTCATAACTGATGAAATTTACAACATTAACACTGTTATTTTGTTTATTTGAACTATAGACCTGTTTCAAAATTACCATTTCTTTCAAAAGTACTAGACAAAGCCGTTCTCATTCAGCTGCCTTTATTTTTTTTTGCATAAGAACTCAGTTTTTAAAGTACTTCTCTCTGGGTTTAGAGAGCATCATACCACAGAATCTGCATTTCTTAAAGGTTCTTGATGTCTTGTTAACTGTAGACTCTGGGGATGCTGCAATTCTGGTATAAGTAGCATTTGATACTATAGGCCATAGAATTCTTATTACACGGCTTGAACAGTTGGTAGGGATTCAAGGTACTGTTTTAAATTGACTTAAGTCCTATTTAACTAATAAAAGTTTTACAATTACTTTAGGTAAATTTGCATCATCTTCGGCCCCTTTTAAGTGTGGGGTTCCTCAAGGATCTATTCTGGGACCCATTATGTTTTCACTATATATGCTCCCAATTGGTTTTATAAAAAAAAACAAAAAAAAAACAAAAAAAACATGGAGTATCATTTCACTGCCAGTAAAGAAGTAAAGTAAATAAAGACTTAAAAACATGGTTAGCTTTTTGCATGGTTGATTTTTTTTTTTTGCATTTAAACAAATACTATTTTTTTTGGAGCCTCTATTGTGTCAGGTTCCCTAATACTGATTTAGGCCCTTTGTCCATATATGGTAAATCTATGGTAAAAAAAATAAAAAATAAAAATTGAGGTGCACTTTTGACTTATGACTAACTCAAATTTGACAAACACATAAATTCTGTTGTTAGATCAAGCTTTTTTTCTATTAAGAACACTGGCAACGGTCAAGCCATTTTCGTCTTTTTGTGATTTTGAGATTTAGCCCTGAAGCTCTGGAGTATTTGCTTCCAAACATTAGAACTGCCTCCACACTGGTGTCTTTCAAATCTCTTTTAAAATGTTATCTCTTCTTCCAGGCTTTTTTTTTTTTTGTCAGTACCTGTTTTGAGATATGTTGGAACCTGATGTTTTATGTTGTGTAGTGATGTTTTAGAGATTTGTTGGACCCTCAATGTATGTGTTGTTTAATAGTGGTGTGTATGTTTATAAATGACCCTTCGCAAAAACCCACCCTCCTTAGTTACTGTTGCTAAGTCCGACAAGCCATGCCACTCTCATGTCAAACATCACGCCACGCAGTAAAAATCACGGAGCAAAGTGGAAACTGACAACATGCCGACATACAAGACAGAGCAGGTTACTTCTGGTCTGAAACAAAGTCTCAGCTTTCAAATTTTGTTATTTAAGAAATTCAAACAATAAATACTGTTTTGTGGCTCTTTAATGTGTCGTGACAGATCGCTGTAGCGCCTCAGTTCAAGTGGCACGTCAACAGATCGTCTTTTCATATTTACTTAAAGCATGATATAAACATGAATGAACATCAGAACGTAATTTATTTCAACCGCGGAAAGATGTCAATACCCCCAATTTTTTCAAGTTCAAGTCCACCGAAGTTAATGTACTCTCCTGTCTGGCGGATGAATTTGGCGTTATGATTGGTCAGATCGCCTGTCAGTCAAGCTCTTTGCGAAGGGTCAATACACATTGGTCAACTGACTATTGCTTTTAATTGTGCTTTATAAATAAATTGCATTGCCTTGCCTTATTTTCATGTTTATTACTGTGAGGCTGCTTTGAAACAATCTGTATTATATAAAGCACTATATAAATAGATGTGACTTGACTTGACCTACAGGAACATTGTGTTTTATGTGTGCTTCGTTTAATTAAGAATTAATTGGGAGTAATCTTACTTTTTTTTGCAGTTGATGTAATTAATTTAAAGTTCTTGAAATTTATCTCTTTCACAGTGTAGTGCATTCAGTGTGAAACGGACCGCTGATAGTGTGGCTTATTGGCACGTACTGTCTGTGCTGTTTTAGCACCTGATTTCCTAAAGCAGCGGTTCCCAAAATAGGGGGCATGGAGTTATAAAAAGGGGGGCATGGCAAGGCTAAAGGACGATGCACAGTCAGATTGTTCTGCAAAAGAAACCCCTTCTGCGTGATGCAAGACCCCACTGCAAAATTGTCCCGCTTATTATGCGGCTACTTGCCACATAAGTAAATAATTGAACACAAATTATAAATTTGACATATTTTATTACCTTATGATGTCTTGCAGTACCCACTGAAGTGGTCTGTTATCAGTTGTAGCGGTTGTTGTCATGTAATAACAGACTACAAGATGGTGCGATTGGCGAATCAGAATTGAGTATTGCAGGGAGTCGTGTAAAAATTAAAATGAAAGATGCATGGCTCTGCACTAAGCATGGATAAGTTTGTGAAAAGACCAGGTAAACATAATGCAGATGACAAATCTACTTTAAATCTACTACAAAAACAACATTTCTACATCAGACACGAGTGGCGCGATTCAACAAATCCAAACAGAACCCATTATAATCAGTGATCCTATATGCGGGATGACTCGACATGACACATTTCTGACAGTTAGTTCTGTTTCTGTGAAAAAAAAAAAAATTCTACAAATGGAGGACCCACCAGAAAACCACTTTTCTTTAAGAAAATCTTGTAAGACTGAAAATAATTTGTTCGGAATGCAACAACATATTGCAATTTCCCATCTATTCCACTTCATTGGCAAAGAAAACTTTGTGAAATAATCAGTACTTCAGGACCAAAATTCCATTTACAAAGTCCACACACATTTCGTATATTTTCTTTGATGCTGTTTGTTTGTCCCTGCTGGTCTACTGCTGTGATTTTTGATAAACCCGCCTCTAAGTGGAACGTAAAAACAATACGTCTGGCTGCATGAAACTGTTCAAAGCCTCCCCCCAAATCCGGATTTGAATTATAAAGAATTTTCCTCCGTTGTTTACTGATAAATAAGAGTACTGGAACTATGGGACTGTTGTGTACAGGACTGTTGTGAAGTTAAAATGTCAATCTGTGTAAAAGGGTTTATCAGCATTAAACACATTTCAGTAATCTCATGACTGAATGAGAGTGTGAGGTGTGTGTGAGCACCTCTCCGGTCTGTCTGCGCGAGCGGCGCGGGATGTGGACAGGCGTCAGGCCCTGCGTGAGCTGCGTCATAGAGGTCAGTCCTCCTCTGCCGAACAGGATGATGCCGTTTTCACTCTTCGTGCTGAAGGAGAGAGAGATCTCTGAGCCCACATCAAACGATACAGGCTTCAGCTCCATGTACCCGGGCCTGGAGAAGCTCACGGTGTGCAGGTTCTGACAGAGAGAGAAAGCCAGTGTTTAGTTTGTAGTTTCACCCAAAATCCTCCTGTGGTTCATCAGCTGATGGCATTAGATTGGTCATGGGTGTTTCTGCAACTATGGAAACTGTCCTGGAAACTTTGTATCATGCCTTCATTTTTTCGTTTTGGAAAATGGCTTTACGTTCCACATTTTTGCACCTAAATGTCGCACCAGGTCAAAATTGCATTGTTGAGAGAAACAAACAAACAAACAAACAGTTTTGTCCACGTATACGTCACATATTTACCAGTAAATTAAATAAAATGTTTACATGTTTACATTTTTAAACATTCTTAACACTGTGAACTTAATTTTAGTTTCACTCACTCCACAACTAATTATTTAAATTTAACAAAGAACAAGAATAAAAATAAAAAATACTGAATTACCAGCATGAGGGAAATGCACTATACAAACACAAGCACCAACTGTTGAATGTGAAGAGAGAAACTGAAACCCTAAAACCTGAAAACTGAAACCCATGACATAAAACATTTCTTTCTGAACACAAAGGCCAGTCGTGTTATTCAGTTGATGGAAAAATGCTAAACCCTAGATTTAAATGACAAAAATGGTCTAATGTAGAAAAGCCATTTGTTCTCATAAAATGATATTAAACATCAGAATTTAACACAGTGATCAATGTTGATTCACTGTAGGATAGGGATGCACCGAAATGAAAATTCTTGGCCGAAGCCGAACAAAATGAAACACTGGGCCGAATACCGAACACGGTTTTTCGCATTTTCTCCCCATATATTTTGCCATTTTTTTCTCACCATTGCATAAATTAAATAGCCAAAACGTGCTTTTTACTTTTTTGTCTAGCTTTTCAAAGAAAAAAAAATCAATTACAAAACAACAATTTAAAAATATTTACTTAACACTGAACATTTTTAACATTCCAGCAGACACTATACCAACAAAGCACAATTTAACTTACAATGAATAAGCTCGTAAAATATAATTTTTTTGGCCATTTCTGAGACCCCCTTCTTGAATCAGTTATGTATTTTTTACTGTACTAATAAATGCAGCCTTGCTGAGCAGAAGAGATTTTTTTTTAAAAACATTGTGTGAGTGTTATAATAAATGTATTAATAGAGCTGTTGTAATTATTATTATCATTATTATTGTCTTATTTTATTTTAAAAATGCATAAAAATGTTACTGAGCAGTTGACGAATAACACTGTTTCAGCGCAGATTTTCCTGGCGCTTTGGACTTTGAACCCTGGCTAACGAGCAGATAGCGCCTTGAGCGCGCGACGCTGTCAGAAGAATACATGCAATTTGTGCGTGTATTAGAAAACAACGTTTTGCAGTGTATTTACTAATCGTTTGAGGCCATTTCGCGATTTCAATCATCACACAGTAACCAGCAACAACCACCCCTTGCTAATTCTCTTCTGATTTTCCTTTAAAAAGAGAAAGATTTATATATATATATATACACAGAGTTCTGGCATGAAACTCTAGATGGCGCAGTTCGATAGGTCTAACTCAATCTGACCAAATGACATCATTATCACATGTCACAGCTGATTGGTTCTCTCCTGTATCGGTAGCCAATGAGCTCGCTGCTCAACATTCAAATATATGACTAGTGCTTGCTGTTGCAGTCGCAGCTTGCTTCAGAAACCCTCCCCCTTCCCCAGCTCCACCTGTATAGATCTGCTACGAGGTGAATCATGTATGCTATATGGGGGTTATTTCATGTATGTAATATTTGCAGCAGCAATATTTCTTACATGCTCACAGCAGCATGTTGTGGATGTATTGGCAGTAGCAAGTCTCGGTACTTGCTCTGCAGCAGCAGCAGCAGCAGATCTATTCCGCCAAGACCAAATACATTAACATTATCATGTACATTACCATGCCAATCCCTCCGAGAGTTGTCATGACAGAAATATATAGATTGCTTGTGGAGAAATACTTAAATTGAGCAAATGTTGCCTTTAGTGAAGAGAGACAATAACAAAGGCAGGAAGGTGCTGTGTTGCTGTACCTCAATGGAGCAGCCTTTGGTCAGTCCTGTGTAGTCTGGGCTGCTCAGCAGATTGTACGGCGTTCTGGAAACTTCAATGTCTTTCATACAGCCAGAGAATCTCTTCAAAACCACCTCTGACCTGAGGAAACGTGAAAAAAAAACCTCATCCAGCAACTGTTTTATAAAGCAGACGTAAGATTAAACACAGGAGGAACTCATCTAATAACATCAGAATGCACATCTGCACACCTGTAGTTTCCAGTCTTGGGTACACCGCCAAAATATATCCTCTCATCCTCCCTTAGGTTGAGGCCTGTCGCTCCACCTGGAGACGCCATCCGCAACTGCTCGTCCTCATTAGTGTCGATGTTCACTATGGCGATGTTTGCTAAGCAAATGTAAAAGAGACAGTGTGATCACAGATAGTCAGACATTCACACACTGATTTCCCAGACAGGTGAACCTTATTTGCCACGCTCATCATATGACTTCAGAAGATTTTGAAATACATTGAACATGTCACATGGACTACTGCTTTGAAAGCTTGCAAGGGACCAATGTGAACATCTCCATTTGTGTTCCACAGAAGAAAGAAACACATTTGGAACAGCATGAGGCTGGGTAAGTGACGGATGTTCATTTTTCAGACCGGCTCGGCACACTGCTGAAGGTGAGCTGCTCTGTTCTCATGTCTGTACCTTCTTTCTTCATGCGGGACATGGTGAACGACTTCCATTTGCCGTCATTATAGCGTTTGTCACTGATGATGGAGCCGGTGCCAGAGCCCAGATCATAACTCACTTTTACCCTCCCGTCGCTCAGCTCTGCACTCATGAAGTCCTTCTGCTCAGACAGACAGACAGAGCACAGATATAACCAGCAGAACGCATGCAAATGCTGTAAAATGGCTCATTTATATGGTGTGGGCGGGCTATAACCATGTCTCTGGTGGCGAAGTACATCATGAGCGCGTCTGTGGAGAACGTGCGAAACTTGAACATGACCGTGGAAACATTTGGGTTCCATCGGGTGGGTCGGCTGACGGCGGCGTATCCCTCTCCGTCAAACTGAATCGTGCCTTCAGTGTCCGCTGGCTGAGGACTACACACACACACACACACACACATTACACTGAGCTCCTCACACTGAGCTCACAGCTGTGTGTGTGTGTTTGCTCACCTGACCACACATCCAGCACAATCCCCGTCTCTCTCTCTGTAGTTCCAGAGGCCGATGGGTTTTCCATCCAGAGACGTCTCTCCCATACAGCCTGAGAATGTGGTGGTTTTCACAGCGTCTGCCTTCTACACACACACACACACACACACACACACACACACGAGGAGAATGTATTTCACATGATAAAACAGTTCAGACTTAATATACTGATAAACTGCACAATAATTCAAAATATGTGACCTTGGAGCACAAAAGCAGTGTTAAGTCGCTGGGGTATATTTGTAGCAATAGCCAACAATACATTGTATGGGTCAAAAATATCGATTTTTCTTTTATGCCAAAAATCATTAGGATATTAAGTAAAGATCATGTTCCATTAAGATATTTTGTAAATTTCCTACCGTAAATATATCAAAACTTAATTTTTGATTAGTAATATGCATTGCTAAGAACTTCGTTTGGACAACTTTAAAGATGATTTTCTCCATATTTTAATTTTTTTTGCACTCTCAGATTTTGAAATAGTTGTATCTCAACCAAATATTGTCCTATCATAACAAACCATACATCAATGGAAAGCTTATTTATTCAGCATGCATAAATCTCAATTTTAAAAAATTGACCCTTATGACTGGTTTTGTGGTCCAGGGTCACATTTATTCTTTCAAAATTGCCATTGTCGCAGTAATATCATTGATTTCACAGCACTGATACTATTGGATTAGAACAAAACTGAATCAAATTAGTTCACAATTCATGAATTTTGCAACATCGACACTTTGAATTGAACTGATTTGAATCAACACTGAAGTGACTCGAGCTGAATAACGTCACTACTGTCTTCAGCAGTGTTGGGGGTAATGCATTACAAGTAACACCAGTTACTTTGTTTCCCATGTCCTGACTAACAGCTCTCGTGTTGCCATGTTGAGAGAAATCAGGAGTAAGTGCAGAGATGTTGTGTTCGCTGTGTGAACATGATCTTACTGCAGTTCTATCTAGACTAAATATGAACATGTACGTATTTACTCATCTCACTTGCACAAAAACAGATTCAGTGCTACTCAAAATGAATAGAAACAGTGAAATGCAAACTCAGAATATGACGCAAACCTGCAATATTTAAATATTTTAAATATACTTTATGTATTTAATCCCATTTTATTAAGCAGTGTTTTTGCTGCTGACCTTCGATGATCCAATGCAACCATACTAAGAAGCAAAAATAACTTTAGATAAACATAACATTTGGGTTGCATTTTATTTCTGAAGACTGAGTGTTGAACTTTGTTCTCCTGCGTCATATTCCTTCATGCAATTTGTTTGAGCTGCGCCCTCTACTGTACAGATGTGAATTTACATTTCCTTCAGCCTGACGCTTATTTATTTCACTTTTGGTGTGAAAGGGCTTTTACATCTGCCAAAATAGAACTTCATATATTAAAAACAAACAAGCAATCCCTGCCCAGATTTAAAAAGTAACGCAAAAGTAACGTAACACATTACTTTCCATAAAAGGTAACTAAGTAATGTAATTAGTTACGTCTTTATGGAGTATTGCAATATTGTAATGCATTACTTTTAAAAGTAACTTTCCTCAAACACTGGTCTTCAGTAGAGTTGCTTATAGCTGAATTTGAACTTGTTTCATACTGAATGAACTTCACACAGTTATTGAACTGAACTGAATCAACACTAAACTGACTAGAGCTAAATAATAGCTACTACAGATTTTTTTAGAGCTGTTTTTAGCTTCTGCCTCATTTTGAAGTTTGCATCACTGATTCTGTGACTTTAATGTTTATAACTGATAGCTGCTTTGAAACAATCCCTGTTGTATAAAGCACTGTAAAAATAAAGGTGACTTGACAGAATTTAGATTCTTAAGCATATTTATCTTGGTTTAAGGCAAGACATTACAGGTGAATATGCTAAAAATATTAACTAATAGATCTTACCATACTTCTTCAGCTGATTAATCACAATACATTAAGACAACTGGGGCCCATTCTTCGTACATCGCTTATTACGCGCTAATCAGGATCTGGATAATTCGGTTCTTCGAGCGCACCTGTTGTTGATGATTAGAATGGCTGGATGGAGTTATCTGAGATAATTGCGCATTCATGAGTTGGTTTAAAAGGGGCTAGGTATCGATACTCGAAACCACGATCAGCAATGCAGCAATTGGCTGACGGCAAGACAGCAACATAATAACATCATATAATTAAAAAAGACACCTGACGAAAAACTTGACACATTTTTGGACTTTTATAAACTGTGTCTATAGTATTATTTATTTATTTTATTTATTACAATTTATTTGAAAAGGGACAATGTGCAATTTTAACATAAATGTTTCCATTTCATGCATTGTACCGAATTTAGCCAATGACTAGTTTTCATTCGAGGTCCCTTGGCAGGTAATCAAAATCACAAATAAACATAAAAACAAAACAACAAATACATACAATACAGTACATCCTATCAGAGCCAAAAAAGAACAGTAAAGACAATGTTCAGTTAAACCACAACCGTGTCAGTGTTTACCGATTTGAGTTGATTTTAAATAAGATTTTAGTTTTAATTTAAACATGTCAATAGATGTGCACATCCTTATGTCTTCTGGTAGAGTGTTCCAGTGAATAACAGCTTTCACTGAGAAAGACGATAACCCAAAGGCAGAATGACGAAAAGGAACAACACAATCACTAGTAGATGATGATCTAGTAGATCTTACAGAGACTGTAGAGTGAAAATGCACAAAATCACGAAGTATAGAAGTGGCCAAACCCTTTAAAATTGTATATACCATACACAAATTTGAGAAAAGTCTAAAATTATCAAAGCTAAAAAAAATTGTATTTCTCCAAGACCTTACAGTGGTGATATTAGTTAGGCTTTTTGTCCAGAGTTTTAAAAGTCTGTTTATAAAGAGATTTTGAAGGTTTAAAAACAGTTTCTCCTGCTTGACCCCAACATGTCAGACAGTATGACAGATGAGAAAAGATTGTAGCATGCATAAAAGTCTTGGCTACATCAGTGGGTAAACATTGTCTAATTTGTCTGAAATTTATCAAGTTATATTTTATAGTCCTCACCTATTTCTTTACGTTTTTTAAAACTGAGATTTGGATCCAGCGTTAAACCAAGATAATTAAACTCAGTAACAATTTCTATTTCAATTTCTATCTTTTCACCATTTATAAAAATATCTGCATTGGAAGAACACACATTAATTTTAGAAAAAAACATCCCTTTTGTTTGACAAGTGTTCAAGGTAAGACATGATTGCTCTAACCACTGTGTAATCCCTTCCATAGCAACATTTAGCTTTTCAGCTGCTAACTCTGCTGTTCTCGCATGTGTAAAAATAACAGTATCGTCAGCATACATTTGCACTTGTATCCCTTCGCACTGCTGTGGGAGATCATTAATGTACAAACTAAATAATAAAGGGCCTAATATTGATCCTTGGGGTACACCCATTGTACAGTTTAAGTTATTGGAATGAACCCCTTTAATTTTTACACATTGCTGTCTATATATTATATTATAGATTACACAACATTATTATATTATTTTGCAATATAATATATTTTTAAATAAATGTTTAAATTATAATTTTTTTTTAATTACTGTCCCTGGATCAGTAGGGTACTCTTGTAATAAACAGCAGTGGCTGGGGCAGATTTTAAGTATCAATTCTGCTTAAAAAGATGCGATCTAATCCTGTTTACATGAAATAAGATGCTCCTGTTGCTATGACAGCAACTCCGGGATAAGCTTCAAAGAACCAACCAATCCAAGATCAAGCGAAATCGTCAACAATCAAATCCAGCTAACTGAGTTAACGATGTACGAAGAATGGGCCCCTGGTTTGTATTACAAGTTTATTTAAATGCAATATTTACATATGCAAATGATACATTATAATATAATTAAATATGCAATCATTTGCATACATTCTCCAGACAGGATTCTGAACACTGGGTGAGTCGGGTTCTAAATTCTTGTTTGATTTTGTTGACATATTAGAGGTAGGCTTTTACAGAGGAGATTTGGATTTTGGACTCTTTTTATCACTCCATTATTTAGAATATACTGTCAACAGGCATAAAAAATAAATTTCCCGCATGTTATTAGGAATACAATTATTTATATAAATCTTTATATAAATCAGCAATGTTAATGTTACATAAGCAAAATAGCATAAATTCTCTAAATTGACCAGTGCATGGATTTTTTTTTTGCCTTAAACATGTTTATATATTTTTTACTGGAAAACCAGATTTAAGCACTAATGAAGAAAATGCAGTGTTGTGCGGTGGATTGATGAAGCGATCTCTCTCACCTTCACTGAGCCCAGCATGCCGCCGACAAACAGGTAAGCATTCTGGTCCACATCCAGCACGGTGTAACTCTCGGGTGATTTGGCACTACTGAGGGTCGGTAAGATGCCAGTTTTGGGCCCCCCCAGCGCATGGACGGAGATACTGCCGTTCAGCCCGATACTGGACACCACGAAAACATGAGAATAAGACCAACACTTGAGTCGCTGATAACCAGCAATACTAATAAATAGCTACTAATAAACAGCTGTTTTCCCTTTTCAGTCATGATTAATAGAAGGATTGTACTGTACACTGCAAATAATAATCAATGTTTCCCCCAAAAAACTGTTTATCTGTACTTCTGTCATTAGATGAACATGCAAACTGAAATAACATTTTAGTTTTGTAAGAAAATCTAATGTAGGCAAAATTCACATTTGTCTACAGAACTAACATCTGGGAAGGAATCAGAAACATTTAAGCAGAAGCATTTGATAAGAAGTAATTCTATTTTACCAGAAATTATGACTTGGTTTTATTGAATTAACACTTAAAATAAAAAAAAACAAAAAACAAAAGAAGAGTTTTTAAAAAAATATAATTTAAATTTAAATAATTTAAAAGTTAATTTTTCCACAAAAACGAAATCTAGTGAGGTTAAAACAAGGAAAAATATTTCAGTGGAGTAAGAAAAACTTAAAAAAAAATATATATTCTCTAAAAACCATGAAACACATTTTCCACCAAACAAATAAATAAAATAAAACGGTAGTTGCAACTTTTTATCTAACAATTCTGACTTTATTTTTCACTTTTTCAATTTCACATCTTCCTGTTTTAACATCTTTTTTCTTCTTCTCTGAATTCTGAGTTTATATCTCTTTTAAGGGAGCCAGAATTATGTGGTATTACTTTTGTTTATTTATTTTTTTAAATGGCAAGTTGCGAGATATCTCACAATTCTAAAATATAACACCTCCCAATTCAGACATTTTTTTCATATTTCCTGAATATATATAGTACAAAAATTTAAAGAAAATTATATTACACAATAATACGCACGCACGCACACACACACACACACACACACACACACATATATATATATATAATCTTGTTTTAAGGATGTGTAAGGGTGACAAAGGGTGATCAAATCTGATAGAAAATGAGGAAATGATTGTTTTTCAGCAAAACACACAGTGTACGTGAACCCTGAATTACCGTGAGGCCTCGATCCGATGCCAGTTTCCATCGTTGATGAGGAGATCGGGATATTCGACACGGCCGACCCCTGATCCCACATCCCACAGGAAGTTCACCTTACCCTTCCTCATCTCCACTGCCAAGAAATCCACTTACACACGATTGAGGAAATTCAGCTCTCATCAAACACGACATTATGTGTGTGTGGAAGAGTAATAAGCTCTTCTTATTTCCCTCGTCATCTCTGTTTCTGACTCAAATGTACGTTCACACCTCAGACTGACCGCTTAAGCAGAAGAGCTGAAGAAATCCAGACAGTTTCTCACTCACATATTTGGCCGATCCGAGGTAGAAGAGCAGGTTATCAGCAGCAACCGTCTTCACATGGAGGATGATGGTGTTATAGCGGCCTTTCTTGATCTCCGGCCGGTAGGTGCGGATACAGCTTCCACCGGACGACACAGACACCTTAATCTAGGGGTCAAAGGTCATGAGAGGTCAAGCCAGAGAGTGCAGACAGCACACGATGAATGATCGTATTTCTCTTCTTGCAGCTTGTAGCATATTTAAGGAGAAATCAACAAGAACTTAAAATTAAGACCATTCTATGTTTATTGATTTTGTGTTCATAGAATAGTGTGTAAAATGTAATGCTGACAGAAAGTATCTAGTCTGTTCACATCAAGTGCTATGAGCTGTTTGCATGAGGATAATTAGGGATCTATGATTTCCGTGATGTGAAAAATGCAGACGGAATCCAGCCATAAAAACGGAATTTAATGTATAACGCGGAATGTCACGGAATTTGGCAAATTTTGTGTGATAAATCAAAAGTAGGTCTGTACACTTAATTAAATGGTGATATGTGACATATTAAACTTCTACATTCATTTTACGTTTCACAGAGTTACAGTAAATCATTAAGTTAATTAATTAATTTTGGGGAATAGATATGGTACTTCCAATTTGTTGTTACATGAATACGGAACAGAAATTATTACAAACTGGAAGTAAATAGATTTTTTTTGCCTCAATACGGTACAACCGCATGGTTTGAATGAAGACTTGAATTTATCCAGTTTTCTATAATGTGAATTAAAAAAAAATATATATATTCTTGCATATTTTGTATATCCTTCTCTTTAAATATATATGTTTGTTAACTATTATTACATATGTCAGGAATTGTATATTAAGATATTAAGAATTTGAACACTCTGCGTGAATGTTTGTTGTTTTAAAAATGCACTGAGCACTTCGGAACAGAAAATATTACAAACTGGAAGTAAATAGATTTTTTTTTGCCTCAATACGGTACAACCGCATGGTTTGAATGAAGACTTGAATTTATCCAGTTTTCTATAATGTGAATTTAAAAAAAATATATATATTCTTGCATATTTTGTATATCCTTCTCTTTAAATATATATGTTTGTTAACTATTATTACATATGTCAGGAATTGTATATTAAGATATTAAGAATTTGAACACTCTGCGTGAATGTTTGTTGTTTTAAAAATGCACTGAGCACTTGATTTCTTGCACTTTGTAACAACAAAGAAGATTGCTTGCATCTCGGCATGTAAATAAATAAGAATTTATTTATGACTTTAAATAATGTTACATGTGGATTGAAGAGAGTGCTGGATACTTTTTTAACGAATAATAATTAAAAAAAATTCTTCCATGTTTTTATTTAAAAAAATAATGAACCGTTTAATTTTCAGATTAATTAAATTGTTAATGTTTTATGCCTTAATTTGATTACCAGAAACAATAAAATACACAACACAAAAGATCTGAAAATAAACAGATAAAGTTGTTTTTTTATAATTAATTAAACCATTAAGAAAGAATCCCAGAAAAATGAAAACAGAAAGCACAGAGCTTGGTTAAAAATTTCATAGGGCCCTAAAAATGTCATTGTTCTTGAACTTCAATATTTTAATAAACTGATGTGAAATTGATTTCAGTGAATAAAGCATGCTTCTCCTGGAGTATGATGGGCAGTACTCACAGAGTTGGCCTGTTTGCGAGCCTGGCTGATGAGCTCTTTGATCTGCGAGATGTTTTTCTTCAGGTTGTCCTGGAGCTCCTGAATGGGCTTCAGTTTCTCCAACAACCTATCGGCCTCGTTCTCCACATCCTTGACTTTAGCTCCGGCCGCGTGAACTACAGACGCACACGCAGAGGAGCGGCCGTCACCAACATTAACACACGAGAGCGTGACAGCAGAAAATAAACACCACATTAGAAACATGCTGGAGAGCGGAGAATGAAAGGCTCTAACATAAGAGCGCAAGAGACTATGAAAGAATTCAGAAACAAAAGAGAAAATGGAAAAAGTGACATGTTATATATCTCTCATTTGCAGCGTAGGCAGCGAAAGACAAGGAGCTGTTATTTCAAAAGAGAAGAGTTTCCATCTGTAATTAGCTAAAGCGCTCATTAGGATAACAAGCTTAGTGAAGCTTTCAAAGGCTGCGTTTAATCCTGTTGGGTTGAAACAAAGAACGGAGAAAACACTCTCTCTGTACATGCAGCGCTCCGGATAAAAGCACCATGCTGAAGCCTCGGGGAGCGGAGAGAGCTCTTAAACTCATTCGCACAGATGAAAGAAGAAAATCGTGTATACATACTTATTGCTGTCGACGTTCAAAATCAAATGGGGGGGAAAAATACCAAATAAGCATTTAAGTGATCTCGTAACACAAACATTTCAGTTAAGAAATCAAATCTTCACGATCCATGCAGCTGTTGTCTCTATAAAGAAGGATTGTTGCTGGAGTTGGATGGAAGTCGTACTGTTTTTCTCCGGGTCTTTGATCAGGTTGTTGGCTGTCTTGACGTCGTCCTCCAGTTTGCTGTGGTTCCTCTTCAGGCCCATCAGGTTGAGGTTCATGTCCTTCAGGCGGTGGAGCACGTCTATGGCCGTGTCGTTGGCCTCCGCTGCCTTCAGCTTAGTGGCCTGGATCTTCGCTGCCAGATCTACCGTCATCCACACAACGAGAAAACACAACACGCTTAGCTGCACGTCTCAAACATCGTGTTCACTAAGCTGAAGAACAGCATTCGTTTTGAGGAATACGCTCAGGTCATATTCTACTCCATAATCAAAGAAAAAAGTTGTAAGATAAATTTAAACAAACCTGTTTAGTTAAGAACTATTTATTTAATTTTCATGACAATTAAGCACATTTCACTCCAAATTCAGGCATCCAGGCATTTTAATTTTGAGTTTTCATTACATTTGTATTCTTCTCAATGATTCTCAGTAGACTGAATCAGCATACATTTACATCAGCACTATAAATACTACCATACTTTCCAGTTTTGATTATATTCATCAATTATTGCTATGGTTATTATTATATTTTCAGTCATTATGGTGGAGAACTGTGTTTAATTGTCATAAATCAATTTCACAATCCTAAACAAATCCTAATGGTCCTCAAATTTCTTTTCTTTCGGGTTTAAATTTTCTGAAAGAAATATAATTTTTCATTTTTTTCCATTATAAAGAAAAATGCTTTGTAAGACCCACTCATAAACATAAATGTCCATTTTAAAACAATGATCTGTGACAAATTTATCACCTCTCTAGATTACACCTCTTGAAAAGACACTTGAATTATTTTAGGAGAATCTTTGTTCTTAATTTTTTACTTTTTATTGTTAATTTTATTTTATTAGGTTTCACACACACACACACACACACACACTGCGCGCAGTGATAACCTCGTCCTGACAGCACCTGTATCAAATGTGTGACAAACACACACATGCACACACACCTCAGTTTAACCATAGGAACAGCAAACATCAAACCCTATGAAGGTTTAAAGTGACAGATTCAGTGTTTTCTGAAGTCAAGCTGGTGAGGTTGACACTGACACACACACACACACCATCAGGGATGGCGTTGAGTTTCTCCATTGTGTCGTTCAGGCCTTTCTGTAAGTCTTTGTTCTTTTTGTTGGGTCCTTTCAGTCTGAACTGAAGAGCACCCAGATTGTCTCCATTTTCTGAAAAAAGAAAGAAGAAAAAGACATGGGAAAAACAATAAGGTTTCTCTCGGGAAGATTTGTGAGAAGCCGCAGGACGGTATTAACTCTGCTGAGGATGGAAATCTGATGTGGTTTTTCACCTTTCACGTCATTCTGCAGCTCTTTGGCCTCGTTCCACAGACGGTGACTCTTCTGAACCGAACCCTTGGCCTGGTCTTTCAGAGATCCTTTGGGTCCTGAGGCCTACAGACAGGACATTACACACACGTCAGAGCGGGTGCCACTCATGCTTCAGATGACACAAAACCTGCTGCTAAGGACTAGATGGTACTATAGGGAGGGACATGTTTTGAACATTTGTGTTTTATGCAATACATAAATGCAATACAATGCAAGATAAAGGACTGTTATTTTTAAATGTGTATATATGACCCTGGAGCACAAAACCAGTCATAAGGTTACATTTTTCGAAATTGAGATTTATACATCATCCGAAAGTTGAATAAATAAGCTTTCCATTGATGTATGGTTTGTTAGGATCGGACAATATTTGTCTGAGATGCAACTATTTGAAAATCTGGAATCTGAGGGTGCAAAAAAATCTAAATATTGAGAAAATCATCTTTAAAGTTGTTCAAATGAAGTTCTTAGCAATGCATATTACTAATCAAAAATTAAGTTTTGATATATTTACAGTAGGAAATTTACAAAATATCTTCATGGAACATGATCTTTACTTAATATCCTAATGATTTTTGGCATAAAAGAAAAATGGATAATTTTGACCTATACAATGTATTGTTGGCTATTGCTACAATTATACCCCAGCGACTGAAGACTGCTTTTGTGCTCCAGGCTCACATATATGCCACACATTTAATTTTAATCTATTTGAAAGAAGTCTCTTCTGCTCTCCAAGGCTGCATTTATTTGTTCAAAAACACAATAAAAACTGTAATATTATGAAATATTATTACTATTTAAAACAGCTGTTTTCTATGTGAATATCTGTTAAACTGTAATTTATTTCTGTGATCAAAGCTGTATTTTCAGCATCATTACTCCAGTCTTCAGTGTCACATGATCTTCAGAAATCCTTTTAATATGCTGATTTGCTGCTCAAGAAACATTTCTGATTATTATCAAGTAATAGAAAGTCACAAAAGCAATGGTCCTAAATGTGTGGCGATAAACAAAAATGATATTCAATATGAAATTTAACACAGAAATGTTGTTGAATGTGATACGATCAGTGTGCACGTATTTCCATGCTGAGAGAGGGAGAGAGGATTGAAAGCTCATTTTTAGTATTGTTGCATATTGTCAGGTTTGACACTCTTGTGTGAAGCACCCTTGTTCAGTTTTAACCTTTTGCCCCACCGGTTCTGCGTCAGACGTGAGAGGATAGTGAAAGAGGGTGAACGACAGGAGCGAGGGATGATAACGGGAGAACAGGAGGAAAGCTTTGATCTCTGAAGCAGGACAAATGGAAATGACCTGAAGAGCTTTAACACGAGCTGCCTGAGGTGTGGAGTGAAGCACAGCATCTCTAGACATTACAGACGAGCTTCTGACACAAAGCGCCACTCCTATGTAATAGGTTACAGATTACAAGTTACCTTATTTAAAATGTAATAATAAGTAGTGTTACTATTTCAATTACTATTAAAGTAACTGATTACATTTGATTACTTTTATAATTCCTAACAAATGTTTTCAACTGTTAATCATTTTGAAACATTTAAAGCAGGCAGGGTTAACCTTACAGAAGTACTCAACATTGATTACTGCCAGACTTTCAAAATCCACTTGAATAAAGATAATAATAGTTTAATTTTAAAGCACAGCCACCACAAAATCAGACGTTAGCACACCTTTAACTTTGAGATTGTTCTGATTTTTGGCATCAGGATAGCATCACTTTACTAAACAGCCTTTAAAGTGCAGGAGGCATCGTGCACATCAAAAAAAGGCAAAGCAACAAATAAATATTATTCAAAATATCCTAGCTATTTACAGAAAATATTCAGATGTAATCCTCTTTGTAACCATTAACATTTTCATAAGTAACTGTAATTTAATTTCTCTGTAACTGTAACGGATTACAGTTACAATTATTTTGTCATTAAATTACGTTACGCCGTTACATCCCCAACACTATACTGTATAACGTGTCCCCGCATTTCCCTGTTTGCCATTGGCAAACTCTTGCAATATCTTGCAATACATTTTTTTTTTGACTTTTCTGCTTCAACACAAAAAGACATGAGTTGAAAAGATTTGCATGTACTGTAAGTAAAAAAAAACAACCGAATGTAAATTAACTGCTGCCCACGTTGAGCAGTTCACATCAGTCACTGATGCAGACAGGAGACCCTCCTGATTGTGTGTGTGTTTCCTCACCAGCTGTAGAGCATCAATGCTGGTTTTCTTTGCCTCTTTGGCCACTTTATTGGCCTCATCGATGTAGTTCTTGATGTTGGTGTAAGCGTTGAAAGCAGCGGTGGCGTTGAAGGACAGGTTCTTTGCCTCAGCTAGAATGCTACAGAAATCAAAGTTCAGAATTCAGATCAGTGAGAGAAGACAAATTAAATCAACCCAGGCTCACTGGAAAAACGTGCCTGTGTGGTCACATTTCCACAAACTGATACTACATCGCTTCTGCACATTTCGTGACAGCTTTGAAATGAAATGTCCAGTGAGTGGCACTGAAAGCACATTCTATCCGAAATAGATGAATGTAAATCTGGCAGTGTTTTATTACATTGGTTGTTGTACGTATAAATAAAGTAGCACCTACACTAAACCCTACACTGACCCCAACCAACAGTTTTAACAAAAGCATGCAGAAGCAACCATGCCATTTTATCTGGTTTCTGCAAGTGTTTGAGCTCTTTTATTGTGACCTGTGTTTCACAGGTATCTGAGTGCTTCACATCACAAGTGCAATGCTGTACCGGGTGTGCTACCGAGCAAGTTTACCGTGTCAGAACAGCTACACAAAGAGCTGGTTATGTGATACAAATGAAAAAAAAAAATTATTACATTTCACAACTCGTGCAGTATGGTAAAAGTATTTTGATCTCACAACATAGTACTGTGCAAAAAAACATGCAAAAAAAGTCTACATTAATCAATAATCTGCACCTTGTAATCATGATTTGTTTGAAAAGGAATAACAGTTGTTGGTGTTTTATTGCGTCTAGTGTTCATTTGAGCTGGAAACTGCACTACACACACACACACACACACACACACATTCACATTCACACTCACACTCACACTCACACACACTCACACACACACACTCACACTCACACTCACACCACACACACACACCTGTCGAGTATGGCAGCAGAATCGTTGAGCTGGCTGGCGTGGTCCTCCGCTCTCAGCAGCAGATCAGGGATGGAGTCGTCCAGACCGCGACCCAACCGCGCCACCTTAAAATCCAACTTATCCTGCAGGGGGCCCAGCTCTCTGGCCATCTCCTCCAGCTCCTGCAGACGCCAGTCAGTAAGCCACGGCTCTGAGGATAAATTATTGTTTAGTAACGTTCCTGCAAGAAACTGACCTCTTTGCCCTGGTTGATGCTGTCTGAGAGAGCGTTAGCTTCGTCCAGCATCTTCTCTCCTTCGGCCAAAATTCCCTCCATTTCCTTTTTCTGTTCACCGGCCACATCCCTCTTTCCCTGCTCAAACATAACAAAACGCTTTAGACACGACTCAGAGCGTTTTATACAGTAAGTTTGTGTAAGTGTGCACCTGCAGACGGTCGAGGTTCAGTTGGTTGTTAACAGCCAGTCCCTCGGCCTGTTTGGTTTTGTTGTGCGCGTCCCTCAGCAGATCCTGAGCTTCATCCAGTTTCTGCCTGTAATCGCCCATTTTATCACTGACCTTCTTCTTCAGGTCCTCTGTGGCCTGGTGTGGATCTCCAAACAAACGCTTCACTCTAGCCAAAAGAGCCTCTGCGGCACTATAAAGATAATGAGAGAGAGCGAGTGCTCCTTATCTGTGACTCATGACATAAGAAAACCCTTTAAGAGACCAAAGCAAAGCAGAATGACCAACTACACTAGCATTCAAATGTTTGGGATCAGTGAGATTTTGGCTTTTATTCAGCAAGGATGCATTACATTGATCAAAAGTCACAGTAAAGACATTTAATGTCACAAAAGTAAATGCTGTTCTTTTGAACTTTCTGTTCATCAAAGAATCCTGAAAAATAAAATGTCTCACCGTTTCCATAAAAAAAAAAATTTCAGTTTTCTACACTGATGATAATCAGAAATGTTTCTTGAGCAGCAAATCAGCATATTAGAATGATTTCTGAAGGATCATGTGACACTGGAGACTGGAGTAATGATGCTGAAAAGTCAGCTGCGCATCACAGAAATAAATTACAGTTTAACAGATATTCACATACTGTAGAAAACAGCTATTTGAAACATTACTACATTACTGTTTTTACTGTATTTCTGATCAATTAAATGCTGCCTTGGTAAGCATTAAAATAATTCTTTCAAAAACAAAAATCATACTGACCTCAAACGTTTGTGCAGTAGTGTATGAGACTTACAGTATATGGTGACTGACAGATTGAGGCCACCCACTTTCACTTTGTGTGTTCCGACACATGGGTGAATAAATCACAACATGAGTGATGAATTTATGTTTTTGCACACACTATTCCTTCATATATAAATTCCTACAACCCTGAATGAAGATGTTACAATCAGAGCTGAATACTGTATTTTGTAGGACATCTTTTGTCTTTTACTAAAAGACAGGGGATCTCTGAGGAGACATCAAATATGTACATGCTTCAGCGCTGCGCTCAAACTGAATCCACCTGTAAACCATCTAATGAAGTGGAACTGGCAGCTCTTAAACGGGTTCTGTGTGCTCCAGCTTTACTCGAGCACTGACTCATTCCCTCTGTCTTCCTCTAGGTGTCTCTCTCTGTTCTCTCATGGCCGTACAGACGCTGGAATCCATTACAGAAGTCATTTGATTAGGCTGGAATAATATTCCTCCCCCGCCCAACCTCGGTCAACTTTTAATTAGTTCATTAAGATTTTACATAAGAAAGAGAAACTTTCTTCATTTGAGCTGTGATCCAATGAACCACAAAATACTACCGAGAAACATAATGCCACCAAAACAATTATTCCAACCTGTGAGCTTGAATGGCGTCCTCACCGCTGCATAGCTTTATGTGCTCTGTATGAAGAAGGTTTGTTGTGGTACTCAAACTGAGCAACATTCATGTGATCTTTACTTATGAACAGTACGCTGCATTAAAACACTTTGCAACAAATCCCGACACTGTCTGTTATGAGAGCTTATTATTCACCTGTGTCCCGCATTTTAAGCACAACCTCAATGCTGCATGATTTTTCCATTATAGAGTGCAACAGCCTGTATAAACTCCATTCATTTTCTCCATAGGGAAATTTTTAATGGTAACTTATAAACATTGCTAATCGATGGAATACGCTTGCGTTGAAAGCATCAACCCACATTATTTTAACTTTTTCTTTTTTTTTAATATTCCTATTTAACAGCTGAGTTTATGGTGAAAAACTACATTAGCCATGATGCTGTACAGAAAAATCCACCAATCAACCAGTTCCAACCAGTTGCAGTGAACAAAATATCTCTTTAGCTCCACCCACAATGATATAATCAAGTCAATCTCACTACGCTGTCATAAAACGTACATATTTGTATACATATGCATATTTTCATGTTACTATAGATACAACCAACAACTAAATAAATAAATAATTATCCATTGTTTTGAAGACTTGGTTCCTGGGATTGTAGTTCCCTATCTGTCGGTCACTACGAGTTATGTCGTGATCGACATTATGGGGATTCACTTGGGAGCCCCAGTCATCTCTGACTTTAAGAGAAAATGCCAATGAAATTTGGCTAGTGGATTTTGCATACCTGAGCCACTCCCCGTGCATACGGGTATAAATAGGCGACAGGTGTATCCACTCTTCAGATTTTTGCTTCGGAGCCGAGTGGATGAACGTGTTGATCTCCACAAAGCCATTCATCATCTGTCTGGAAGCTGTTCTGGTTGGCGTCATGGTGCAAACAGCAGTGTCCCTGTCTGCAGCGATTCCCCTGGGCACTTAAACTAAAAGAGCAGATTTCCTAAAAGAGCAAATCATGGTCGGTTTGCGTCTTTTTAAAGACGCCGTTCCGGCCGTGTCCTCTTGGTTGCGTTTCCTATCCTCTGTCGACAGCCAAGATTGTTGTCTTCAGTGTCTGGGCATTCAGCACGCTGAAGCTGCGTTCGTGGATGGTTCATGCATTCACTGTGAGCGTGTGACCATCGGTTAGCGCTCTGGGCGATCTGAGGGTTACAGTGAGAGCCTTTCTGCTGGGCCAGTCCCCACGGACCTCTCACTCCTCCCGCAGCAGCTGTTCTATGCGGCTCCCTGATGATTCTGTTGTGCCGTCTCACGGCGTGCCCAGCGTTTCATTCAGCGCGCCGATAGAGGATCAGTTGTCGATAGCAGTATCGGGGGATGGGCAATCATACTCTGAGGATGAAGATTCGGTGAGCCGGCCCCCCTCGGGTGTTGCCGCCGTTGCCGAATCGGACCCAGAGTTGACGGCCGTGCTTTCCCAGGCTGGAGGCGTGCACACCTCCCGGTCCCGAGCCCTTGCGGCGGGATGATTGGTTCCTCGGCACGGGTCGAGGCTCGTGACCACGCCCTGCCCTGGTTCCTTTCTTCCCGGAGGTGCATGAGGATCTGATCTGTCGTGGACGGCCCCTTTTTTACGGGAAGTGGGCATCAGGATGCTGTGCTGGACTGCCTGAGTTCCTTCAGAGGCTGGACGGTGGTACCACTGAAACACTTTCAGAGGCTCCTGGGGCATATGGCATCCGCAGCCACAGTCACGCCGCTCGGATTGCTCCATATGAGACCACTTCAGCACTGGCTACTCTCCCGAGTCCCGAGGTGGGCATGGCACCGCGGTACACATCGTGTCACAAATCACACCGACGTGTCGCCGCCTATTCAGCCCCTGGTCGGACCTTGATTTTCTACGGGACGGGGTGCCCTTAGGACAAGTGTCCCGGCATGCCATTGTCACGGCGGATGCCTCCAGTACGGGCTGGGGCGCTACATGCAACGGGCAGGCAGCCTCGGAGCTCTGGACCGGGCCCCGACTGCTTTGGCACATCAATTGCCTAGAGCTGTTGGCAGTGCATCTGGCCTTGCGGCAGTTCCGGCCACTGCTGCAAGACAAGCACGTGTTGGTCCGCACGGACAACACTGTGGCGGTTTCGTACATCAACCGGCAGGGAGGTCTACGATCACGTCGCATGTCATAGCTCGCCCGCCATCTCCTCCTCTGGAGTCAGACATGGCTCAAATCGCTGTGCGCCGTCCACATTCCGGGGGAGCTCAATCGAGCAGCCGACGCGCTCTCACAACAGCTCACGTTCCCTGGAGAATGGCAACTCCATCCCGAGACGATCCGGCTGATCTGGAGTCGATTCGGGGAAGCCCAGGTCTCAGAAGTTCCTGTCTGTTTGCTTCCCGCGAGTCCTCCCACTGCCAGCTGTACTACTTCCTGACCGAGGCCCCCCTCGGCACGGACGCCCTGGCACACAGCCGGCCTCGTGCTCTTCGCAAGTATGCGTGGGAAGCCCAGGTGGACCTGTTTGCTTCCCGCGAGTCCTCCCACTGCCAGCTGTACTACTTCCTGACCGAGGCCCCCCTCGGCACGGACGCCCTGGCACACAGCCGGCCTCGTGCTCTTCGCAAGTATGCGTTTCCCCCAGTGAGCCTTCTCGCACAGACACTGTGCAAGGTCAGGGAGGACGAGGAGCAGGTCTTACTGGTTGCGCCTTCTGGCCCACCAGGACCTGGTTTCCGGAACTCATGCTCGCAGTGGATGGCCGGTCCCTAGGAAAGCACGATCTCATTTGTCAGGTTCCTGAGGGGTGCCAGAAGGTTAAATCCTCCTAGGCCACTCCTGGTGCCCTCCTGGGACCTCTCTATCATCCTGGCAGGACTTCAAAGGGGTCCCTTTGAGCCACTGGATTCAGTCGAGCTTAAGTTCCTGTCTGCTAAGACAGCGCTCCTGACCGCGCTCACTTCCATCAAGAGGGTCGGGGACCTCCAAGCATTTTCGGTGAGCGAAGAGGGTCTTTTGCTCGGGCCGGCCTACTCTCACATTGTCCTGAGACTACGGCCTGGATACGTGGCCAAGGTTCCCACCACTCCCGTCCGAGATCAGGTGGTGAACCTGCAAGCACTGCCCTCGGAGGAGGCAGATCCAGCCCTTGCGTTGCTGTGTCCCGCTGCGCATATACGTGGACCGCACCCGGAGCTTTAGAAGCTCTGAGCAGCTCTTTGTATGCAATGGAGGTCAGCAGAAAGGGAAGGCTGCCTCCAAGCAGAGGTTGGCCCACTGAATAGTGGATGCCATCGCCTTGGCATACCAATCCCAAGGCGTGCCGTGCCCCCTGGGGGTGAGGCTCACTCCACACGGAGTGTTGCCTCCTCCTATGCGCTGGCGCACGGCGCCTCTCTGGCAGACATCTGTAGAGCTGCGGGCTTGGCGACACCGAACACCTTCACGAGATTCTACAGTCTCCGCTTTGAGCCAGATTCTTCCCATGTGTTGTGCAACAGGTAATCGGCGGGAAGAGCTGGCCGGTGTCATGCTTGCTGCGCCATTCCCCCTCACCCAGGGGATGCGAGCGCCTTTCTCCTCCTCCAGTAAGTTCCCCGGACGGCGAACCCTGGCAGAGGATCCTCCAGCACCCCCGGCAGCCGAGTGTTCTGTCAGTCTCTGCTGGCAGTTGTTCCATCCCTACTCTTAGGTAGGACCTGCCCCAGAGACCCATTCCATATGTAGTACTGCCCCAGCCCGGGGTCAGTCCATATGATAATCTCCACGTTACCTCCCTACGGGTAGGGTGGGGCCTCTGTAGTGCCCTTCTCCGGAAGACTCGCTTCCTTATCGTTTCTGCCTAAGCTGTAAACTTCAAATCGGAAAGACTTGAAGCAAATCTTTCGTTGAAGGTCGAAATCCCTTCTGTTAAGAAATTTCTGTCAGAAAAGGAACAATGGCTTGGCTATCTCCAGCAGCGATGTGTTCACCTGTGATCCCTGCAGATACCAAGGTCAGCGAATTTGCGCTGGGGCGGTGGGAAGGTTACGACCTTTCCGTAGCATTTGTCTGACACGCGGCCGCTTGCCAACATTGGCTACGTCATGGGGTTGTGACGGGGTTCAGGTTGTGGCGCTTTCCAGGGCCCCATAATGTCGATCACGACATAACTTTTAGTGACCGACAGATAGGGAACGTCTCGGTTACGTACGTAACCCTCGTTCCCTGATGGAGGGAACAGAGACGTTATGTCCGCTTGCCACAACCTCGAACCATCACTGGCGGCCAGGGACAAGTTCTCGGCTCCTCAGCGTAAAACCTGAAGAGTGGATGCACCTGTCGCCTATTTATACCCGTATGCATGGGGAGTGGCTCAGGTATGCAAAATCCACTAGCCAAATTTCATTGCCGTTTTCTCTTAAATAATCATGACATAACGTCTCCGTTCCCTCCATCAGGGAACGAGGGTTACGCACCTAACCGAGACGTTATTTCCCTCACTAAAGCTGTTAAGTACACAGTCTTATATCTTTGTATTTTTGTCCGATTTTTGCTTCAAATCAAAATGAGCAATTTAGTCATTCCGCTTGTAACTGGTTGCTTGGGTTCATGGCATATAACTCTTTAAAGGGATAGTTCACCTTCAGTTGGTCCCCACTGACTTGCATAGTGTTTTTTTTCCATACTATGGAAATCAGTGGGGAACTGAAGGTGAACTTTAATGAAAATCCCTATGGGAAAAATGAATGGGGAAAATACTTCCCGGAACCAATGCCACTGAAAAAGTGGGCAGCACTAACATCCAGGACATAATCTGGTTATTAAAGTGACATAATCTGGACTGCAGTGTGAACACGTTGTGTGTGTGTTTTACCCCAGTTCTTCGTCAGCGATGTTTTTCTTGCCGGAGAGCTGGCGTTTGCGTAGTTCTGCGAGCATTGTTTGGATTTCATCGTTCATCTCGTTCACGCTCTTCTCAGGAGCCCCGTCCGTCGAGCCCAGAGTTGCGTTCAGCTCAAGCGCTTTGTCCCGTAAAGCTGGACGACAACACACACACACACACACACACACACACACACACACACACACACAGAGACACATTTGCTTTAATGTGAGCAGCAGAAATTTTACATGCACACACAATGCACAAAAATACTGTAATTGTAAATACATTTACTAATGTGAACAGACCACCTATGAATCTCATTCTCATAAAATGATGAATGACACGTACAGGGGACAATATATACACAGAACACATGTAACTTTCCCTTATTTCTTTTCGCCTCCATCTCATAGGTGTGACCTGCTTCAGTTTGCTTCAAAGAAGTTTAAATTTGACTCAGCAGAGTTAAGGTTCTTTAATCAAATTAAATTAGATTCTGAAACTCCAATCAATTCAAACGGGGGAGTGAAATAAAAGAGCGAGCAAACTTCTCTGCATATTCTAATTTAAATAAAAATCATTAAATTGAGATGAAAATGAGCTACAATTGCATGCGTTTGTGAAATTCCTCGAGAGTTCAAACGCAAACAGTCGATCGACTACAAAGAGTGCAGTATATACCTGCCAAGCGAGCTGAGCTGGAAATAATTGCATAGCAAGTTTCAAACGCAGCTCAGGTCTTTGGGGTGGACAGAATCATTTGATTCCTCCTCGTTTAGCGTGTGAGAGAGGATGAGAGACGAGGCGGTTTACTGGAGCAGGGAGCTCACGCACAGAATGGATAATGAAGCTCTTCCACTCCACGCTGACTGATGTCAGCTCTCCTCCACTTCTGCTAGAAGCTTTTTGGAAGCGGTTTTTGGCCAGTTATCAAAATCCAGAGGACCAAAGTGCAATATGTTGGCTCTAAGTGCCAAACACGTATCCAAGAAAATAAGTTACCACTTTTTTATGTATTTATGGTTTTAATCTGCTTGCATTCGGTGGGAGAGATGACTCCATCTGGTGTGAGAACTCCTCTCAGGTATTAACTACATTTGGATTACAGGTGTTCGGGGAATTAAGATTTTGATTTGTCCACAAAAACTCATAATCAGATTTTTTTTTTTAAATGTGTGACTGATAAATATAATGATTAAGAATGCACATGCAGGACAAAACATCACAGCTATGTGCAATGCTGAAAAATATATCTGTGCTGCACAAACATATTACAAACATACGCACAGGGCATAAATCTAACATTTTAAAACACCTGTAAATGGCCTGTGACCTGAGAATATTAACTCGCCATACATATTTCGGTTACACTTTATTTTAAGGTGTCCTTGTTACAGTGCAATTAGACATTTAAATAATGAGTAATATTAATGAACTACATGTACTTATTATATGGTTAGGGTTTGGCTTAGGGTTACTTGCATGTAATTATACTGTACATAATTTATTGTCATTATAACAGTAAGTACATGTAACGTGCAACAATGACACCGTAAAATAAAGTGTTACCATATTTGTGTACCAGCCATGAAACTGTATGCGCATTATTTCAATAAAAAACAAACATTTATTTGCCATTTTTATTATAATTTTTTATTTATTATTATTATTATTATTATTAAATGAAATTATAATAAATAAATATTAATACTAATATTTATATAATATTAATACTAATATTTATAACAATACTAATATTTATGGTCGTTTTTTTGTTGCTTTTAAATGATAAACCATAGAGCTTTTATTTTGGCAGAAAGCTGCAGAGAAACTTCTCTTTTAAAAGCCTTTTCTTTTGTGAACAACAGATTTATTATCCATTCTCATTACACTCTCGTTTTCAAATGCACAGAAAAAGTTCAAGAGCCAAAATGGAAAAATATATGGAAATACAGCATACAATGATATATATTTACACAGAACCCAAGCTTCTTCTCGTACGACACTATTATCGATGCTTGTTCAGCTTTTATTGGCAGATCAGAGCAGAGATGCTATAATTTGTCACTTTTATTAAGATCCCAAGAGATGATTTTTAAATGTTAACTTCTTTTTATCCAAAACAGCATCTTAAAAATGCTCAAGGCGCGAGACACTGAAAAACAGCGAGAAGAATCAAATAGCCTGTGCATATTGTGACGAGCGTCCCGAAGCTTCATCAGCGTCGCCCTGGAAACAAGCGAGGAGCACCTGGCCATCATCATCACAGGCTGATCGGTCACAGCTGCACCTCATCAGGTGGCGGCTACATAAACCACGCAAGCCCTGCCATCTAGGAGATTCCTCCATGAGACTGAGCACTAACTCGCCCTCTCATTTTTCCCACAGAAAGCAGCGTGTGACCGACCAGCCCCACAGGAGCACTGCACGGACCCTCTGCACTGGGAAGACGGAAGAGAGCACTCACGGCACCGGAGCACCTACCTGGACCTTTCTCACTAACACCCATCACCCCAATAAATCCACCCTCCGGGGTATTGATTGAGATTACTTGTCGTGTGATTCTTCACCCAGTTACAATATTTATACAGAAAACAGTCTAGATGGACACAAGAAGGCAAATGCTGTTGATAAACAAGATGCATCAAGAATCATTTTGGAGTCATATGAGTCCCTGAATCTGGTCATAATGAATGAAGTCAGTTCATGGTTGAACTGAATCAACATTGAAATAAATTGTTGTGTATACTGAACACTATTGTTTTGAATTTGAGTTTTTTTCATAATTTATGATTTTTACTGTTCTGTTTAATAATGTGAAGCTGATTTGAAGCTGAATCTGCATTGTATAAAGTGCTACACAAATAAATGCAACTTGATTTAACTACACACACACAGTCAGTGAGTGGAGTATCTGTTTAAGTGATTATTTTTCCAGTAATGAATTTTGTCTCTTTTAATTAAGGCACCACATAGTGTTAGCTGAACCTTCATTAACTAAAGCAGCTTCTCATTTAAAGCCATGTACAATGATACAGACTCATTTACAAAGCATCAGGCCTCACACACACACACACACACACACACACACACACAGACACTCACACACACACACACACACACACTCACACTCACACTCACACACACACACACACTGACACGCGCACGCACACGCACTCACACACACACACGCGCGCACGCACACGCACTCACACACGCACTCGCACTCGCACTCGCACACACACACACACACTCACACACACTCACAC